AACGGCCGAGGTGGCCAAGAGACCCTCGGCCCGGGGCAGCAGGGTCAGGCAGGGCTGCCGTGACACCAGGGCAGGGTCTGTCCCCAGCAGCCCTTTGCTCCCCCAGTCAGTCCCGTTCCCCTCCAGGCTCCGTGCGGGTCTGTGCTGGGCGCAAAGTCCCCCAGTGCTTCCCGCCATGGTGACGCTTCCTGTCTGATTTTGACATTTTCACCCCAGTTTAGTGGCCCAGGTGCTGCCCCATGCAGGGGAAGCGACAAAATCAAGGCACTGAAGTGCAGTTGGGGCTGGCTCCCTTCCCAGCGCGGCTCGCTGTCATCTGCAGCAGATGTTGGGGACAGCTGTGCCACTGCTGTCACAAGGTGGTGCCCCTTCTGGGCCTGGGCATGTGGCCCTTCCAAGCAGCAGGACAGGGTTCAGCTTTGAGGGCAAAACTATTGTGATAAATATTCAGTGAGCTTCTCACCAGCCACTCAATTATGAACAGAAATCAGCCAAGTTGTGGTCACTTCTAAATTGTGCGTGTAATAAATAATATCCTGGATGTGGAAGTACTTGGAATGAAAGCCAGGACATCTTTGGTGTGTAGCCCTGTGTGGTGGTGACTGGGGACTGTAGCTTTATCCCAGCAAAGGCAGCTGCTGGGGCTGGGCTGTCGTGGTGGGGTTTGGTGAACGCTCCTGCGTAGGGCAGGAGGGAAAGGGGGTGATGAGGAACAGCCGCAGCCGGGTAACAGTCTGCAGGGAAGATCCAGCTCCTGCGGGGATGACTGTCCGCTAGGCCGGGTGTTAACGCTCTCGTTTATCTGATGGAAATGGTACCTGCCCTTTGCAAATCACTTCGGGGCCCTGGTGCCAGGCTGGGCGTTGCTGGTTCCCCGTGGGCCTTGGGAAAGCGCGGCCGGGAGGTGCATTCCCAGGCCGGGAACATTCCCAGCTGCGTGCCACAGGCTCCTGCTCCCTCTGCGACCATCACGAGTGTCCCAGGTCCTGCTCCAAGGAGAGGCCAGCTCCGCTGCTCAGCAGATTGAATGTCTTTATTGCACCTTGCGTGCTGGTGGAGTTAATTACCCGGAGCATCTTGCTGCTGATGCAGCTGCTTTCATCAGGGCAGCTCCTCGGAGCAGGACTGGGTGTCGATAAGCCGTCCTGGTGCTCAGTCTCCCCTCGTTGGTATCTGCAGGAGGATTGAGGACTGCCTGCCTCCCCTGGAGGACTCTCCGGCCAAGAGGTTCTCCCCGTCCAAGCGGAAGCAGTATTACATCAACAAGGCCATCCGCAACTCGGACCTCATCCCCAAGGCCAAGGGGCGCAAGAGCCTGCAGAGGCTGGAGAACAGTAAGGACGGGTGGGCTGGGAGCAGCCCAGGGCAGGGGGAAACTGCCCCAAATCCTCCTGCTTTGCCCCATGGAGCAAATAGGAGTGAGGCTGGGGGCACGGGGCCTTCTGAAGGCGCTCCCTCCTGACTCGAGGACTTTGTTTTTCCCTCCCAGCTCGGTATCTCATGACGCTTTTGGAGCGAGACGAATGCGGGAACGATGAGGGAGAGCTTGACCACTCCGCTGCTCCGAGCATCTTCAGCGAGGCCTGTAACAACGAGACCTACGTGGAGGTAGGACAGGGACGTCTGCCCGGCCGGGTGCCTGCAGCCCCGCGCTGCGTTCGCAGCTCTGCACAGCTTGTGCATGCAGAGCCCAACCTGTGCAGGCTGCAGCACTTCCTTCAGCAAGGCCCTTTGCTGCACCCCTCCGTTGCTTCACTCTGCTCCATTGATATTGCAATATCTGCTCTGTAACCTGGCGTTTTGAAACTTTGGTGCCTTTCCTGTGTCTGCTGTTGAGGGGTTTTGCTCTGCCAGAGCTCTGTGCACGCTGGGCTCTGCAGAGAGCTCCTCTTAGGCAGCCCAAGGTGGAAGCCTCACGCAGAGCTGTGTTTGAGGCAGGGCTGTCGTGGGCTCCCAGCACCCGTTTTTGCAGCTCTTC